CAATGAGTCTCCCGAACTTTTCAACGGAGACGCAGAGAGGGAGGAAGGGCAACGTCCACAGTTTTCTGCGGCGGGCCTTGGCAGTTTGAGCTGGTGCGCGACGACCATGTGTTGGTGTTCACCTCTACTTCTGACTGTACACTTCAGAGAAAAGAAGGTTGTGTATGACAGCGAAGGCTAAAGCAATCACGTAATACCTTAGCGGCACCAAGGAACTCTGAGTTGCGCGGGCTTCTACACTATCTAGGTGACTTACGTAACGACCTAGGCACCTTTTCAGGGTGACCCTACGGGCGGGACCCAGCACTTGGTGTGTCGGGGAGGGCAGGCCCAGGACACACGTGCGCTACCAGGTACGGTCTACCAAACCCTGCTGCTAAGGTACCTTAAGGTAAGGCCCGGGCACCTCGACCTCGGTGTTGAGGAGCGTCACTCCGCCCTCGACTGAACGCTTGGAACTTGGAGCCTGTGAGTCAAGTCGGTGGAACCGTATCTTGACACACATCTCTCCTACCCGCTTGTCTCACCAGATTTCCAAACCCACCGCTGCCTCATATCATCCCATTTTCATGAACCATTCCGCACCCAGCCCCGCTTCAGACTGCTCTGCAACCCCATCATCTACCTGCACGGCCACAAAACGAAGTAGCGCTATTCCACCGTCCGCCTTCTCAGCAAGAGACTCGGCACAACAACTTTCAAAGCTTTCCTGGCCGTCCTCCTTGCCCTAGGTGTGTCATGACATGATACATGCCTGTGCTCGAGCTGCCACGAACTGGAAACGTTGTTGGGCGGTCTACCCCATGAAGAGGAACTTTGACACTTTCCTAGGCCGTCCTGTTCCGCCTTCTCGCAACATGGCTGCTGCAGCCACCACCATTGGGACACCCGTCCTTCAACTTACTGCTAAGGAAGAGCAGCTGAAAGAACTTCTCGTCGAAGTAGCTGCCTCGATCGACAAGACGTGTCGCCCTTCGGATCCCCCTCTGGTCCTTCGTTGGGCTGGTGGCTGGGTTCGCGACAAGCTCCTTGGCATCGAGAGTCATGACATTGACACGGCTATCAATGTCATGACCGGCTATACCTTCAGCCAGAAGATGCGTGACTATTGCGACGACTTGGAAAACAGGAGGAAGCACAACATCAGCCCTGATGATCTGGGGAGCATCCACAAGATTGCTGCCAACCCAGACAAGTCGAAACACCTCGAGACTGCCACTTGCCGCATATTTGGCCTAGACGTCGATTTTGTTAACCTTCGAAAGGAGACTTACACCCAAGACAGTCGCAACCCAATCATGGAGTTTGGCACAGCCGAGGAGGATGCTATGCGTCGGGATGCCACCATCAACGCCCTGTTCTACAACTTGCATACTGGTCTCATCGAGGACCTCACAGGTGGTCTTGAGGACATGGCGTCGCGACTCATTCGGACCCCAATGTCTCCTCTTCAGACATTCACGGACGACCCGCTGAGGGTCCTGAGGTTAGTTCGCTTTGCCAGTCGTCTGGACTTCGACATAGACCCTGCTGCAACGGCAGTCATGGCGGAGCCTTCTGTGCTCGGCGCATTGAAACTCAAGATCAGTCGCGAGAGGGTTGGGGTCGAAGTCGAGAAGATGCTCAAGGGTAGACATCCCCGGAAAGCTCTCGAACTCATACATAACCTTGGGCTTTACGAGGCCATCTTCACAGATCCAAGTGGCGAGCAGTGCCCTGCACCAGATCTCTCCAAGTGGAAGCTTGCTTATGGCTGTCTCGATCTTCTCTTTCGCGATCGCGTGCCGGGATCCATTTACAACACTCTCGTTGCCACAGACGAGGCTGCTTACTTGGCGTGGGCATTGGCGGCAGTCATACCATACTCACATGTGAAGGACGAGGTTGCCTTTCCAAAGAGTAAGGGAACTATACCCGTGACCACACTGGTGGCGCGAGAGGGCATAAAGGGTCCGAATAAACTGTGTGACATTATCACCGGGGCATCTCGTCATTGCCGCCAGATCACAGCCATGAAGGACAATGTTTGTGCCAAGAACCCGCCCTTTTCTCAAAGAGATATTGTCGGTATGGCAGTCCGAAAATGGGATGCTCAAGGAGGCCACTGGCAGACTCAAATTGTATATGCCATTCTCGTTGAGGCCACGGACAAATTGGAATCCCTCTCCGATTCAGGTGAGTACTTATAAAATTGATCCCAGTAAAGATTTGTAGCTAACACCAATGCAGACGTTTCGGGATTCCTCACAGGCTGGAAATGTTTCTTGGACCACCTGGCTGATTTGGACGTTATGGATGCCCCATCACTGAGACGCCTGGTAGACGGTCGGTTACTAACGAAGGAGCTTGGTGTTCGTCCAGGTAAATGGATGGGGCAAGCCCTGGATGTGTGTGTGGCGTGGCAGCTCCGCCACCGCGGCGAAACCGATCCAGCTGGTGCGATAGCCGAAGTGAGGCAACGTTCTAAAGAGCTTGGAATCACAGGCATGCAACGGTAGAATTGAGAGCCTTTCCAGACAGCTACGTCAATGAAATAAAAGCATAAAGAAAAGGGGGGGGGGGGGGGGGGGCCGGGGCGGGCTTGATATTTGCCTCGTCAATCGTAGGGACCGGCCATAAAGGTGTACGGTAGATATTGAAGACCAACACCAGAGGACAGTGGGCTGCAAATGAAGTCTGTTTACTGTACTACAGAGCGCGTCAACTATGCGATCTACCATGACCAGCACAGCGGGCGGGTCGTTTGCCAAAGCGATTATTCCTCTATTCTCTCCGATTTGTTGACGAATGCAATATAATTGTCTAAGCCGGGCATTGGTCACTTAGTCAGTCACCCTTAACCTCATAAACATGGATGGACACGGCGCCGCCAAAAAAAAAACCAAAAAAAAAACCAGCACAGGCCGTATTTTTTTTCTTCTTCCCTTTGTTTTTACCCTTTCCCCAATACCGCGAGTGCCAAGGGGGAAGCGCTGCGCCGTTGCTCACCAAGCCCCCTTTGTTGAGTCAGCTGCTCTCTGCCTTGGGTAGGTTATGTAATTAGGATCGTTAGCCACTTTACCCGAACAGCTATCCTCTTCGCCTCGAGGTTGTGACCGCCGTTTGCGATTCACCCATTTCTCAAGTTCACTGCGACCGAAAAATCCCCGTTGAACGTTGCAATTGGCAATCACGTACCTCAGCCAAGCCCAACCCTACTTGAAAGGCGGCGCTATGCTCCGCACCCTCGTTGCGCAGTTGCAACAACCCAATGCGGCTATCCAATTCAAGCTAGCACAAGGTGGGTGGTTACGGCCCCCGAGGAAACAAACGACGCTATCTAGAGACTGACAATCAACGGTAGTCCTGCCACAACGTTATACTCTCTTCGACATTGCCAACGGGTTGTCCGAATGCCAGACCTTGGTGAGTTTGTTTTTTCCCTCGCCAAGGGTTCCAAATCTTGACTAAATTGATGCAGCCGGAACGCCGTGTCATCGAGGGGGTATCTTTCTGCCTGAAGCAGACTGATCGCATTGAGAGGAGATCTGTAGATGCTGAAAATGCTGCCAGATTAGCCAACTATGCCGCGATGCTCCTCGAGCGAACCCCGGATGGCCTGCCTCTATGTTGTCCATCATCTGAAGATGCTGCTCCCGTGGACGACGTCCTAGGTGTCCTTCTCAGCCTCGTCGTGCATCACTCATTATGCCTTGACGATGACATATTACTGGCTGTGGCCGCGTACGCAGACGGCCATGAAGACTGGTCGGCGCCGATAACGGCCTCGATAGCCAAAGACCTGTTGGATCATGCGCTAGGCGACGGGCATCGAAAAACCGCTTTCATCACCTCGGTAGTTCTGGAAAGATTTATCCGGCCAATCTTTTCTCGTTACTCCTCCAGCCGTCTCACTTCAGCTGGCAGGCAAGCCTATTATCGTGACGATGATCACGATCAGGTCACTGGAAGCGCTCTCTCTAGTGGCACAGACACGAAACCATGGAAAAGTATCCAGTCACATGCTGTCACTGTCTTCGCCTGGACTGTGGAGCAGTCAGATGTGAGTTAAAAAAAAGGGGGGGACGGTCCGCGCTGAACACATCCAAGTAACGAACGGTCCAGGAGCACATTATTGCCACAAAATGGCCTCTTTTTGTCCCCGTTATTCTGTGTCTCATAGACGACACAGACACTGCATATAAGGCGCGGGGCCTTGCTATCCTGCAGGAGTTCCTTGAGCGATCCACTGCCAGTATGCTAAGGGCTACAGGGCTTGGTGAAATATTTGAGCAATCCATTTTTCCCTCCTTGATGTCCTTGCCGACCTTGACACATGAGGATGAATCGATCCAGCTCCTTGTTCCGGCGTACGGTGCTGTGATACGGTTGGCAGATGTCCAATTTCCAGATTCAAGCACCGGCTCTCAAAAGAACCGTTTTCTTACCAGGTTGCTCAGGGAGGCCATTTTTGCCGGTTACTGGCATGCATCCGATTATGCCGGCATTGTCGAAGTGCTGTCACGACAGGTTTCGTCAGTCGTCTGCAGACTGGGCACGTTCGCTATCCCACACGTCAAGGTCAGAAGCAGATGCTACTTTTTTTGTTTCGTTACTTACATACGATTAGGGTTTGCTGTCCATGCTGACGACCATTCTATCCGACCCTTTCATCGTTGCTCGTCCAGAATGTGTCCAGGCAGCTTCTCAGGCGCTGTCGACCGTCTTGCTGAATTGCTGGTCTAGGGTTGCGGATCCAGCGCATTCAAATGAGGTATTGAGGGCCGTCAGCGTGTGTTGGCTGAATTTGAAGGATATTCAAGGAGTGCCGCAAGACAAGGCACCGCAAGATGCTTTTGTGGCCTTGGCCAGCATGGCACGATTGCTGTCTACGATATTCAAGTCCGCTGGCATATCCCCACGGCAGCAATTCGCACCCTTGTGTGACGTAGAGCCTAGGCTCTCGGGCCTATTTAGTGATGCGGAGGCAAAGGCCAGCGAGCTGCCGGATAATACTGGTTTCAGTCCAGAGGCTGTTGCTTGAAGAAGGACTTCCCGCGCAACCATTTTCTATACGCTTTGTATCGCTTTTTTCGTGCATCCTCCTCTGTCACTGTGAGCGGGTTGCTTCCAATTTTGAGCAGCTCGGTGTAGACAGCGATATCTTCCTCAGCACCCACAGGCGTAAGCGGGTCGCTTTGCCAGCTGCTCTGGACATAATCCTGGTACTCAGACTGGTTCTCGGCCTGTGCCTCGGCTGATACAACCAAGGGCAGGTTCTGTGGGTGGCTGATGTACCGCTCATAATCCGCGGCTTCTTGTTGACTGACTGACGGGTTCAGAGACTCGTTGACCACCTTCGTGAATGTCCATTGTGCTGCTTTTGTCTTCTCCTGGGCTGTGGGCTTCATCTTGGGCGACCCCTGAGGTTCCGCCTGCGTCTCCTTCATGATTCCATGATGGCCAACAACCCTTTCCTGCATCGGCTGCAGCCAGCGGTGGATCGAAATTCCTTTACCGCCTGTTGTTCGGTCCGATATGACAGATGCTGCGTCCAGATCTGGCGGAGACCGATAGTCCTGCGGATCAACGATCGTCACCTCCTTCTTCGGCTTTTTTTTCTCATGCGCATCCATGTCGGTCTCATTGCGCACTCTGAAAGGGCTCAGGTCATATCGACCGTCTTGGGTGGATTTGAACGGTATATATTTGATGGTAGAATTCATCTTGTACGGAAACATTTTGAGAAATGACGAAAGGGTGGATGGCCTGTAGTACTCGACCCAATAGTCGTCAAAAAAGGATACGGGCATCTTCTTCGCATCGCCAGGAGGTGGGCTGTAGGCTGGGAATTTGCGCTCCTGTAGATTCTCCGGTGTAAACCAATCAATGTAATCCCGTTTAGTCTTTTCGGACCATGTGCGGGGATCTGCATGGTGGAGGTAGTAATCGGTCGCCAAATCCCACAACATTGGCTGTCCCTGGGCGAAGATGTAGTTTCCAAGGAACAAATTGTAGGCCTCCTGGCGCTGTCCGTCAAGGAATGAGTTGTTGTAGTATCGTTTGAAACTCTCAATCATGTCGCGAGAATGGCTAGTCCATTGATTGATCTTACGATATGTCTCCATGGTGTTCACAAGCTGGGAGCCGCCATACTGAACAGCTATGGTGTCACCATGATCGTGATACATATGCGTGAAAAGATTGACGGCGTCGGTGTCGTAATTGATAGATGTGTCCTCGAGAATCCCCAAGGCATGAAGCTGGTGGCCGAGCGCCCTTTTCCCAATAACAAATTGCGCTGCGTTTGTGCGGTCTAGGCAGTCGATGCAGTTGGTCCGGGCCACTCCATTCTGGACGCTGGTTGGATTGATGTTACCGTCGCCGTCATGGAAGAATCCGGTGGTGACAACAACATCTTCGGCAATGCGCTCCAGGGTCCCAATAACGTCTTGATCGCGACTTTTTGCGGCCCTGCTCATATCCCAAGCTTTGTGGATTATTTTGCGTCCTTCAGGCAAGAACTGGTTGAGGTAATTGATCGCATTGGTGTACTCCAACAGGAGCTTTGACTCTCGTGGCGTTCTCTCTCTGGCTTTGACCAAGTTGAGGACGTAGATTGGGGCGCCGTAACGCTCAAAGAGATTGTCGAAGTGTAGGGCTGCAGCGCTGTAGAACGGATCCACCAGGTTCAGCTCGATCGGAGGCTTGGGGGTCACGCCTGTGTTGTCTTGCGTCCAGTAGAGGGGAATGCTTCCTCTGTGCTGTACATAGGACGTGTACTGCGGGCTGGAGAAGAGCCTTGGGCCAGGTGCATGGAAAGACGTGGTAAGAGCCTCTGAAACTATCTGTTCGGTTTCGACATCATTGGCAACATAACCCTTCGCCGGAGGTCAGTGGCTACTTCTGTGCATCCAAATGGAGGTTGACTTATTATGACGGGTGCTTACCAGATCGTTGGCTCCTCGTTTGAGAAATCTTGCGCCAGCGAAGAAACGGGAACGCCTTGCTATTATCGTGATGTAGGCCGTACGTCCGTAGATCGACAGCGCTGGTTGTTCGTTTCAGTATCGGCGCATCACATGAGATTGCCAGTCTGCTTACCAGCTTGGTCAATGTATCCGTGGATGATGGGACGACACCAGTCGAATGGGTCTTTCAGTGCCTTCATCGCCGGCTGCAGTAAGTGACTGTTCCATACGAACATGCCGTTGAAGTCATCCATAGCACCGGGCAACCCTTGGGCAAGAGCCTCTCGCTCCCGGTTCAAGTTGTGCTGTAAAGTACGAGTGATGTCATAGGAGTAGCTGTAATAGAATGACCTCGTCAGATCGAGGTTGTTCAGTATCCCTAGGAAGCGGGACTCCTCTGTGTTTCTAACGTCGGCCTTGAACCGGGTAGGAGTGAGCGGCACCAGCTCTGTACCATCTACTTGATAGATGTAGTGCCCACCAATCATAGCCACTGTACTCTTTTTTGTAATTAGGAGCATGTAGTATGGTCCTGTGAACTTGATGAATCCGAGGAGGCCCCATGTTGTGCACCGAAGCTTGATGCCTCCTGTCCCCTTGTTGCCATCGTCAATAGTGTCCAGGAGCTGATTCATCTCCTTCTGACTGTAAATAATCTTGTCATCCGTAATGCTCAACTCTGAGTCGTCCGTTGTCCGCTCAATCTTCAGAATCCGATACCGACGTTCCGTCACATCGCCACCAACAATATAGTATCGGGTTGCAGTCTCGTAAAGGCTGAACTTGTGCATTTTGCGATCGAGGCGGTCAAATCCCTTGTCGTCATACGCATAGGCAGTTCGGGCCGCAGAATCCGGGCTAGACGTTCGGACAAAAGGTTTCGCGACGGCTGGTTCTTCATCCACGTCATCTTCGCCAACTCGGTTTTGTCTCGCAGCATCTGAGGACAGCGCATCCGCTGTTTCATCATTATTGAGTAGTGGGAAGACAGGCGAAGAGTCTCGGTTCTTTTTGCTCTGATCAACATCATTAGGGAATAAGGTTGGCGTATCTGGCTCCATCGGTGCTGAACAAGCGGAGCTTGTAGGTGCGATGGGACAATCTTAGGAGGGAGGGGAAGTTAATCATAAGAGTGTTAACGTTATGAAAGGGCTTATGGAGTTATTAAACTAAGTATATTATAAGCATGTTAAATAGGTAACTATATTAATACTTATTAAGAGTATAATACTTACGCTTTGATAGAAATATGACTAAAATTTATAAAGTGTTAATTATAAATTAATTAGTTAATTAATAAAAGCTACTACTTTTTAACTATAAAAGTAATAAATACTTTAAAAGTTAAATATTATTATTATTATACTTTATATATTAATAATATAAACAAAATATTATATATTTTATAAAATAGCTTTATATATTTAAATAATTAAGTTTATAGCTATAATATGGTTTTTTATAGTTATAGTTTATAATAATTATAATATTATATATTTAATTAATAATAAATTATTATTACTAAATAACTCTTATATAAAGTTTAGTTTAAAGAATATTATAGAAGTAAGTATAACCTAAATCTTAGTTTTAAGTTAAAGAACTTATATTCTAAAAAAAATCTTTGAAAGTTAAGATAGATAGATATTAAGTAACGTTATATTTAAGAATATTACTTGTATTAAAGGTTTTTATATTAATATTATATCTCAAAGCTACTTTAATATATATAAGATTTAATTTTATAGACTTAACTATACTTTATATATAGAAACCCTTATTTAAGGTATAATTATTATAATTTAATTGAAAAGTATAATTTAGTTTTCTTTAAATATAACCTCTTTTCTTTATACCTTTTTAGAAATATATTAATAAGTTTTATATATAGTATTACTATAACTTAGCTAATAAAAACCTTTTGCAGATAAAATATATATAACTATTATAGAGATTAGTTAGATAATATATATTTTTAGTATCTTTATTCTAGCTATTTAAGCTTTAATACTTTGAAATATACAATTAAAAAGGTTTAAGAGGTAAGAATATAAGGCTTAATCAATATAGATATAATATAAAATATATGCTAAAACTTATATAAAAAAGATATTTTAGGTTTAAAGTTAGAAAATAAAGTAATTTATCTATATTATTATATCTTCTAAAATATTTTCTATTACTTTTTAAAAGTAATCTTAAGAGCGTTCTATATTTTAATTATCAAGAATAAATACTTAAATAAGTTATAAGGTTTCCCTTTAATATAATACTTACTTCAAGAAGTTTTTATAATACTTTTCTATTTTAAATATTAAGTTAGAAGATAATATAGATTAATAATCTATATTATCTACTAAAATAATAAAATAGCTATAATTATAATTAATAGTAGTATATAATATTAATACTAAGTAAAAAATAATAGAATTATACTTAAGATACCTCTAGTAGATATAAAAGAGCTTATAAGTAGTTTAAAATATATTAGCTAAGAAGTAATCTTAAGAAATATCAATATGTAAGAAAGTATTAATTTTCCTTTTAAAATATAGTTAGAATTAACTCTTGTAAGGATTTATCTTTTTAATTAATATTTATAATAAAAAGTTAATTAGAAGTTATAAAATTAAATTAAAAAAGAATAATATACTTAATATCACTATTAATAAGCTTTTTTCTATATATCTATAATTAAAAGAGATTTTTAGTTATATTTAAGATATATATATATATATATATATATAGTTATTATATATATTTATTTAAAAAGGAATAAAAAAAAGGAAAAAAAGGAATGTATTATAAGGTATTTTTATAGGGATATATTAAATACTTAGTTAGATATATCAATAATATATATAACTTATATAACATCTAAGTATTCATGTTTAAAAGAGTAGTTATTATATATAATATATAGTTTAATAAGTTAAAGTTTTATTTAAAAGAGGATGAATATTTAGTAATATTAGTTAAGATTATTTATTATATTATTAAAGAGGAACTAAAGCTTAAGTTATTTTCTAATTTAATATTTAAGCTTTTAAATATATAAAAGTAAGTTAATAATATAGTAGAAGATATTTTTAAAGAGTAAGAGATCTTAATTATATAGTTATAAGATATTATAATATATAGATAGTTAAAGCTACTAATAATAATTCTAACGCTTATAACTACTTTATAGACTTTTTTAAGATAGCTAAAGTAGCCTAAAAGCTTAATAAGTTAAAAAGAGTGAATATATTAAGAGTATAGCTAATAGTAGTAAAGTTCTTTATTAAAACTATATAATAAGGTAGAAGATATTATTTATTATAGTATAGATATCTAAATAGTAGAGGAGACTTAGAAGATGAGTATAGATTAAATATAGTTTAGAGATAGAGGTAGCTAGAGAAAGATAGTTAACTTAGCTTATTATAATATTTAAAGTCTAATAGAGGAGCATAGAGGTGAAGATAATATCTAAGTTTAAACTACTTATAGTTATATAACCTAAAGGTTATTAGTAGAGGGTAAGGGGATTAGTCTAGCTTTTATAGTTAATACTAGTTAAATTCTATAATATAAGGCTAGCAGCCTTATAAGAAACTTTATAATATATAATTTAATTAATAGTAAGTATATAAACTTGACAATAAAAATAGATAAAGTATTTATATACTCTATAAAGTAGCTCTTATTCAAATTAGTCTTTTATAATATTAAAATATAAATAGCTTTTTAAAGCTTATTAATAAGTATAGCTTATATTAAAAAGAGAGAGTATTACTAATAATAATATAGCTACTATAAAGGTATTAGCTAGTTTAATCAAATAAGAAGAACAGTAAATAGTAAAGGAGTAATACAAGTAATATTAGTAGTATAAGTAATATATAAAAGAGAGGATACGTTAATAGTTTAATAGTTTATTAACTAACATAAATATATAAGAGTATAGCTAAAGTCAAAAGAGAGTTATAGTTAGAGAGATTATATAATTAAAAGCTATATATATTATTAAGAGGTATTAACTTAAGAGATCTATTACTCTAAGTAGATAAAAAGTATAATAAATAGCTAGAGGCTTATATTTGGCTTTTATATCAAAGTTATAAAAGGTCTATTATTATAATTTTAGTTGAAAACCCTTTTTTAATAACCTCTTTAGTTAAAGAGATATTTCTTATATAGTAGTATATATAATACTTCATTAAAAGGTTTATTGAAGCTATTATTAGCTAAGTTATAAAAATTTTAATAATACTTTTTAATTCTAATATAATTAGCTTTATAATATATATTATTATTAGCTTTATATTATATAGCTAGTTTTGGTATTATTATATTAGTTTATTTAGCTGAAATATATAGTTAACTTTATATAAAGGTTTACTCACTAATAGGAATATATAAAGTAAGTTTTATTATAATTCTTTTATAAAAAGGCTTTATTATAATTATAAACTTAATGATATATCCTTTCTTCTATTATTATTTATATAATTAAATACCTATAAATGCTAAAGATTATTATATTTTAGTATAATATAAGCTTATTTATAACTATATACTATATCAATATATATATTACACCCCTAAATATATTTATATTTATACTAACTAGTATAATACCTCTAACGTACTTTACCAGTCAGCCGCGCATATCAGCCAGCCGCGCACTTTTCCTCATCTTTCAAACATCGTATAAGTTTTTATAACCAGAACATAGAAAATCAATTAGCTCTCATCGGCATCTGATTCACTAGACGATTCTACATCTTTAGAACACGTTCGCGCATTATGGCCTGTCTTGCCGCACACACCGCAACGCCGTTAAGCCGACCGACCCTTCTTCGACAGACCCCCATCTTCACCTTCTTGAGGCGCTGGACGTTTCCCTTTGCCCTTTTCTTCCAGGATAACCTGAGATTCTGCTATACTAAGTGCTCCTCCAAGCTGGACGCGTGTCTTTTTCGC